TTTACTCAATGGACTGAATCCGCACCTGTTTCTAGTTGATTTTGCTTAAGAGTTAAATGTTGTTCTTTGCACTTACCCTTAACTGCTTGCCTTCGTCTGCTGATTTCGTGAGTCGTTCATACCCAGTATTTGATTCTCGCTGTTAGTAGGTTTTTCCTGGGCTGATCTTTTGAGTTTTTATTGATGGCGTATCCATTTTCTATAAATTGGGTGCTTGTTTAGTTTTTTCTTCCATGCATCTGGGGATTTATAACGGATGTCACGTCTTGTAATGGTTTGCTTTCCTCCAGGTTTTGATTGCAGCAAATAGCGCATCAAAGGAGAAAGCACAGGTTCGATTTGTACAAAAACTCGTCTAATATTATTCCATGATCTGTGGATCCTTTTGTATTTTGGTTGAGTTTATATGACTTACTTAGTCTTGTAACTAGGCTCACATTAGGGGGCTTGAGGAGGAAGTGAAGTTGCTGAAGAATCTCTCGCACCCAAATATAGTTGTAAGCGACTTTCAATTTTGTTTTGGAATATGCAAGATTTGGGCTTAAAATAGAAGTAAATAGTAACATTGGCTAATTTTTGGTCGTCTGATTGCTACCTCTCTCTGTCAGAGATATTTAGGAACTGTAAGGGAGGAAGATTCCTTAAATATTTTGTTGGAATTTGTACCTGGTGGATCTATATCGTCATTGTTGGGGAAATTCGGACCATTCCCTGAAACGGTGAGACACTGCCTGCCTGAACAAGCTTTTTCTTGGGTGTTTCGAGTTCGGTCTTATGTGCCAATATGTTGAACAGGTTATAAGAACATACACCAAGCAACTTTTATTGGGCCTTGAGTATCTACACAAGAATGGAATTATGCACAGGGACATCAAGGTGCATTGATTTTTTTTATATTGCTACTGGCAGTTTTAATAGCTCTCTCTCTCTCTCTCTCTCTCTCTCTCTAATGCAAGTTATGACTCCATTTACAGGGAGCAAATATTTTAGTCGATAATAAAGGGTGCATCAAACTTGCAGATTTTGGTGCCTCAAAACAAGTAGTTGAGCTGGTATACCCAATATCGATATCTTCCGCACTTCAATTTTTCATAATTCTTGCTTTCCGCTTGGTCAATTAACTTAAAACTATCTATGGTTTTACACAGGCTACCATTTCAGGTGCCAAATCAATGAAGGGCACTCCATATTGGATGGCTCCAGAAGTCATTCTCCAGACAGGCCATAGCTTGTAAGTATTATAGAAATTTGCTATTATATATGTGAACGAGTTCTTTTCTTTTCTAAAAAGAATAAGATGATTAGATCTCAAATACTTCTATCAGTTGCATTTCTTCCCATTATGTCACAACACAGACAATTCAAATATTATGGGAGATGTCTGAACAAAATTTAATTCAGATATAAAACCACAACTCAAATATGCAATCCAGGAATGAATATTTTTTAAAAGGATTGTTTCGCTTGTACTTTTATTTTGGTGCACACCAATAAAATGGTTCTCTGTCTCTTTCCTTTCTGGGTTGAAAATATAAAGATTGTCATTGCTACTAGCACTACACTAGACATTAAAATGCCCACCTGGGCAATTTGCCGTTTCAAGTAAGAGACTAGCTGAAAAACTGCAGCCAAAATCTTAGTTGGTGACAAGTTACTAAACTTATTAACACATCTACTGTGAAGCTTGCCACAACTTGAGACCTTATTCCAATTAAAGTTCCAAAGCATGAACTTCCAGGAATTATTAAGTCTAGGACCTGATCAAACTATTTAGAGTTTTCAAGGTGGATAAAGCTCTTTATCTGCTTCTTATTTTTTGTTTTTCACAAGACAAGTAAGTTAACTTAAGGAGTCGTAGGTAGTTTAATGGCATATTGAAATTAAAGTGCGGTGCATCACACTAGAGTTTGATGAGCCATTCATTGGGCACTTTAGCAAGAGTGGTGAGCATTTCTTTCAATTCTTGCCTGTTGCATTTGTCATGTTTTTTTCTGCTGAAAATACTTTGTTTTCTTAGTCTCTATATCAGTTGCATTTTGTTGAGATATTTGAAATGCCTCACAGCTCTGCTGACGTATGGAGCGTTGGATGCACTGTTATTGAGATGGCAACTGGAAAGCCTCCATGGAGCGAACAATACCAAGAGGTATTCTTGCTGAAATATGAGGTTTGCGCAATAGTCAATGTCAAATTCTGTCATATTATTCACAAAGCTTGTCCTTCAGGTTGCCGCTCTCTTCTACATAGGAACAACAAAATCTCATCCTCCAATTCCTGATCATCTCTCAGAGGAGGCAAAAGATTTTCTGCTACAATGCTTGCAGAAGTATGATCATATTCCTTTCCCTACTTCTCGTTGTCCTTTTCTTTCTTCTTTCGAAATTTAAATCCTAGAGAAACTTTTGCATGCAAAGTTCTCTGGCTTTGTATTGAAAGGTAATTTTTGGGAGTAAATCTGTTACAATATGCTTGAAGAGAGTCTTTCCAGTCCTTTGCTTAATTGTGCAATATGTGTGATTTGATTTTAGGGAACCCAATGCAAGGCGAACAGCATCTCAGCTGCTGCAGGTGATTTTTGTTAATGGTAGCATTTGAGTGGCATACTGTAATTTCTTCAATATGTCTGAGATCTCTTGTCCTTTAATTATAATCCTTTCGTCTGCAGAACTACATGTTACAGTTCTCATGTCTCTGTATAATATGCAGCATCGCTTTGTCACTGGAGAAGATGAGGATTCTCATTCTGGTTTTTCTACTCTTGCCATGGTTCGTATACTCGATAAACCAAGGAGGCATGGCCATTTCATACAATTCGGAAGCTTTTTCCAGCTTAAATAAACTGAAATTGTTTTTCTATTAATCAGGAGAAGTTTGACATTCCTTTAGCATCTTCCATGGCAAACGGAAAAACCTTGTAAGCTCATTTATGGTCTTGTTCTTCAGTTGTTTTCTTTTGCTGGTTCAGTAGTGGTAATGTTTTCTGATGATGTAGCTTTCACTTTTTGCTAGTCAAATGCCAATGAACTTGGGAGCAGATATCACTAATATGGATTCTATGAGCTGCTCAACATTCCGTCAACAAAAGGATGGTTGCTGGGAGGCAAATGGAAGCGATGATGATATGTGTCTGATTGATGATGAGATTGACTCCATTGGCAGATCTCCTGATAATATTAACAAGGTAAACTGCTTGAAAATTTCTGTTAGTTACCTTTTAACAAAAAGCAAGATGGCTTACATGTTTCACATGATCAATGACATTGTTTTAGCAGAGCTTTAACCCCATAAGTGAGCCTTCTATGGATTGGACGGGCAAATTTGATGTTACTCCAATACCTCAGCAGCCCGGAATGGGCATCGACCCTGATCGTACAGTTTTAAGTCCTACTGGTCCATCTGCATCTTTGAGTGTGGGGGTAAATGACTTTTCATTTCCATCTGGACCATCTATACTTGAGGAGGACGATGAACTCACAGAGTCCAAAATCACAGCTTTTCTACACGAAAAGGTACAATTGGTGATTAGATGTAAAATTTGCAATTGAACAGTTGCAGTGTTAAGTTGGTGTTTTGACCGTCGGTTGTTACATTCTTGGGGTATTTTACTCCAGGCCATGGAACTGAAGAAGCTGCAAACTCCACTTTATGAAGAGTTCTTCAACAGTTTAAATACACCTTGCTCTCCTGCTCTTGGCGAGAGCAAATGTGATGAAACTGCACCAAGTTACTTGAGATTACCTCCTAAAAGCAGGTCACCTAGCCGGGCTGCGGCTGGAACTTCAACAACAGCCACAGATGGAGTTGGTTCTGGAAGCCCTGGGAGTAATAATAGCAGACGTATATCTAATGTTGGCAATGCCAGCAATCAATCTTCACCGGATGTAGGATTGCCTCAGTCCAGTGATTTGAAAGGTCTTGCAAATGGTGGTCTACAGGACTCAAGTAGCCCAAGGTTGGTTTCACTAGAGTCTATATTATCTTTGAACAAATTCATTTACATATATTTATTTGTAAGCTACTCAGTTATAGTCTTAACCTCCCTAACTTTTATCGCTATGTTAGCTTCTCTGAGAGACGAAAGATATGGAAAGAAGAACTTGACCAAGAGCTTAAGACAAAACGAGGTAGATTTTCTTTTCCTAGTTTTACTCGTCAGTTCTCTCTTTTCTTTTATTAATTCTTTCGTTGTTTTTCCTGGCAAATACTCGTGCTGTGCAATATATGTTCCATCAAATATAACTGGTATAACAAAGTGGTTTCTTTCCCTACATTATGTATGAGAAACATGTGACCAGTATCACGAGTTAGATTGTTGCACTGCGTCACAAATTGACGTTAATATTCCTTATGTGCAAAGTAAAAAGATTAGCCATTTTTTGGAGAATTAAATGTTTTTGACTTTGAATGATTATACCGAAGCTGACAGATTGAATCTTGTCCTAATCGCGTCGAAGAAGGTTTGAGCTTTCATTCAGGGACTCGGTTTTTTATTAAATACATAGTGGAAATATGGGCAGCAGAAATCGACATTTATCAGTGACGGAACTTGTCTCACTGGAAAACTTGGCTAAATTAGGTGGTTTGTTTGCAGAGATGATGCGCCAAGCATGTGTGGGAGCTAATACACCTTCCCCAAGAGATCGGAGTATTACTCGACAAAGGGATCGAACAAGGTTTGCATCACCTGGCAAATAAGTAGCCTCTACACAGGTTTTGCGTGGTCAATGTTTTGATTTTCTGCTCTTGCCCTAGCTAGTAGAGGATTGAGTTCCGATATGTGGTTCTTATCGATATCATGCAATAGCAGCAGTTTCAGAGAGCACCAAGATTTCATGTTGTGGTCACCACTCGGGTAATGCTCTAAAGTGGAGGGCCGGCAGCTGTAGAAGCTCGCGAATTATGTACTTTAGAGAGACGATCGGAAATCTGTCGCTGAATGTTTCTTTCAGAGACAGGATGTGATTGGAGTCTTGGATACACATAGCATTTTAGACATGATGTTTGGAAAAGAAATGTCATGCTTTCTTCTTTTTTCCCCCTTTTTGTTTCTAAAAGGCTCTTTCCTCACTTTGAGTTCAGTGGGGATGGGCGTGTTAATGAATACATGTTGAGTGTGTATCTTAAAACATATATGGCACGTATTTGAAGACGTGACTTATTATAGCTTGATCGCCATGGCGATTTGGCTTCTTGAACATGTTGCAAAGACCCTCAAACTCGAAGCAGGAACACTCCCAAGCCTCGAAAGGCCCAAGTTATGTAACGATCCCCTCCGTTTAACTCACGAACCTGACTCGCCACGGACAAAATATCTCTCTCCATCAGAGTATGTCATTCTCGGCCGTCTCCTATTTACAGAATCTCCTCCAAAACAGTAGTCTCTGAACTGTGAAATCATCAGAAGAAGGAATCTACACGTTGCCTCGACTTAGTTTTATGCTGGGGAACCCCTTGACAAGAGTGATCTCTCAAGCAGGACGTGATCCAGATTCCAATGATCATTTAAACCTCCAGAGTACCAAATCTAACGTATTTCTACTTCCTGGTACCTGAACCACTGATGCCTTAAAGCTGGCTTTTCATGCCTGGCACAGCCGTGCGTTGGTTCTTCTGAATCAAAGCCCCATCAATGTCACCACCGCAGCTGATTCTAGGATTAGCAGCATCTCAGTAAATTCACCTACAGAATTGAGAAATCCTTCAAAACAACCGTCGAAACTGCACCGGATGAATACAGCCCCACTTCATGCTCGAGAGAGAGTGCCCTTGGTGGATCTCTACCCACTTCCTGATACAAGTGAGTGCTACATCAGATCAAACATGGTGAAAATGATCATTCTGCAGAACTGAAAGATCACAATTTCTCGTTTGCCGATCATATCCATTTACATGTATAAGGTGGACTTTCAAACGATCAAATATATCTACATTAACGCTACCCCAGCAGAAATTATAACAAGACCTGAAATATGGTCGAGTAAACTCAGGTTACGGTGTTCATCAAGTGAATCACCTCGAAGTCATGTGTCCACCAGAAATTATGATAACTTCTGACATGCTTTCTTCCTGTCAGCATATCTTTCTAACTCACCTAACTTAACATTCTAATCCTATTTGCTCTTCATCGCAAGACTGAATCCAAATGGTCAGTAACTACACTTGCTTCTGCTTTATTCTGCGTTCAAGTAGTACAGAATGAATCTCTTATCAGGCATATATCCTTCATCTGTCATCAAAAGAAACAGCTCCTTTAAAACTTCAAAAATGATTTCACTTTGCGGATGCATCCTGTCTCGGACAACAAAGCTATGGACTTTCTTCTCAATCTCAATCGAACTAATGCCCGTTTCTTTAGCCACCCCAGCCTCTTTCATTCTTTTCATAGTCCTTGCCCTCTCTTCCCAATTACCTTCAGAAGAACATATATTGGCCAGCGAAATGTACGGCGCAGGGGTGTCGGGCGCAGAAGAAATCAGCTGCTCGGCAGCATACCTTCCTAACTCAGAATCACAGTGCATGCTACAAGCGCCAAGCAAGGCTTGCCAAACTAGAACACCAGGTTCCATGGGCATTCCTTCTATGAAACTCTTCGCTTCAGCAAGGCGGCCAGCCCGTCCCAACATGTCGACAACACAAGCATAGTGCTCTGTCCTTGGACAAATTCCATAATCCCTTTCCATTAGATCTAAAAGCTCCATTCCCTTCTCAACTAAGCCAATATGGCTACAAGCATGAAGCAAAGAGAGAAATGTAACGTCTGTCGGCTTTACACCTTCCATTTTCATTTCTTCATGCAACCGTAGAGCTCCACAGCCATCTCCGTGACACGCAAAAGCGTTAACCATGGAATTCCATGAGATCAAATTTCTTGAAGGCATCCGACTAAACACTTTGATTGACTCCACGATATCTCCACACTTTGCATACATGTTTATTAACCCATTGCTGACAAAGGGAATATGAAAAAAGCATCTTTTGATAATCAAAGAGTGAATTTGTTTACCTAAACCTAGAGAAGTATCAGCACCAAAAACCCCAAGAACAGCAGAAACCACATTAGAATCAATCTCCAACCCTGCCTTTACCATTTTCAGAAATACTTGTATAGCTTCTTCTTCAAAGCCATTTTGTGCAAAACCTACAAGAATTACAGTCATAGAAACCTCATCTATAGTCTCCGCAGACTCGAATAAATCCAATGCATCTTCTAGACTTCCACATTTTGCATACATATCCATCAGTGCACTCTCCACCAATAAATCTGACCGAATACCCAATTTCCATGCAATGCCATGCAACTGGCGCCCCGCGTTTATTGCTTGCAGACCTGCACACGCCGTGATGGAGCTCAAGTATGTGAGAGTATTCGGATAGATTGATCCGCTACGCATGCTCATAAATAACTTTAAACTATCCTCATAAAACTCATTCTGCTGAAGGCCAGAGATAACAGCCGTCCAGCTAATCACATTCCTCTCGAACATTTCATTAAAAACCCGCATTCCCCAATCAATGCCACCGCATTTGAAATAAGACGTGATCAGCGCATTCCCTATCGTAATTTCCCTTTCAAATCCACCCCTGAAGACTACGCCATGCATCAACTCAACCACACGAGAAAGCTCACGGCCATCGCAACCAGACAGAATCGTCGTCACCGTGGCTTTATCCACGCCTCGAGCACCCCCTTCCCACATTCTTTTGAACATCCCAAAACCCATCTCGAACTCCCCATTCCTCAGGAACCCAGATAACGCAGTGTTCCAGGAAATGGTGTCCTTCACTGGCATTTCATCCAACAGCTTGACGACGCCCAGCACGTCCCCGCACCTCGCGTACATCGAGAGGAGAGAGTTCCAAACGACAGGACCGTTTCCGAAGAGGTCCTCGTTTCCCGGGTCGTGGAGCTCGGGGTTCTTGACGACGGACGCGTGGAGGGAAGAGCCGAGACGGAAGCGCCCTTCTCTGCCGCAAGCGGACAAAAGGTGGCTCACGCGTACGTGGTCGAGGACCAAAGTGGCGGCTTGTGACGGAGCGTCTTGAAAGGTCGGAGCTTTGAGCGGAGGAGGGAGGCGGGAGGTCAGTCTCCGAAAGACCCATTTCGAATTCATCACATGAAATCAGAGCCGCAGAAAAACTCAATGTGATCCTATGGGAGCTTCTCAAACGGCTACTATAGACTACAGAACTTTGACCTCCTTGGCGCAAATTTCTGCCGAGAGGGAGAGGGAGAGGGAGAGGCGGAGCTGGGCGGGTTTGTGATGGCTGCTAATGGGGAGTGCAATTCATGAGTCGTGACTATGGTCATCCCCACTGAAAGCTCATCTTTTTTGTCTCGACAAATTGAATATTCGTGTTGTGTACCTTTCGAATTTCCCTCTTAATCACGGGCTGTCTTGAATCTTTGATGTTTGGTTAAGAGGAAACCTCACTAAAGCAGAGATAGCCCAAGCTTTTGATGTTTGGTTAAGAGGAAACCTCACTAAAGCAGAGATAACCCAAGCTATTGACAGGAGCCTTCGCGGCCTGTCCGTTTGCATACCCGCATACCCTACTCGAAATTGTGGGATTTGTTTATCTTTCCTCACTCCAGGGAATATTCCGAGTTTAACGTCCTAGAGTTCAGATTAAAGTTTTTAAAGTCTCGCTTAAAACCAAAGTTCATCCCTCATTAAAGCTCATTTTTTTTGTCTTGACAAATTGAAAAATCGACTCGTATATCTTTCCAATTTGACAAACTATTTGATTCAATTTAAAATAGAAAGCATAAACCAATTGAATGGGATATCTATCGTGCCTCGTCTTTTCGACCATGGAGCCGAGGAAGCTTAATTTTGACTCAATTTAATCTTGTTTGTCCATGCCTTTCTTTCCCTTCCCATTCGAGCAAGAGACTGACCTTTTAGTCTTACTCAACAAATGAGCATTTTCAATTTTTTGTTTCTTTCTCAACACTCACCAAATGGGTTTTGTACTACAGAAAACCAAATGCGCAAAATGCAGTTAGCCCATGAATATATGCAAATTTGCACAAGGGATGCAGGATTGTATTAAGCAGACTTTTGTATGCTTGTATGCAATTCTCGGAATCAGGGGGCAAGAAATAAAAACTAACCATATAAAAGCTATATTTGCATATTTAACAGGGGAACAAACCTGTATCTTCCGGCCTTTTGAGAGGGGAAGAATATATGAACAAAAAGGAAGGGGGGACAACATCCGGGGGAATAATAAAAGAAGAAGGGATTAGTGCATTCAAAATCCTAAAACTTGTCACGAAAGTGCAATTGAATCCTAAAACTTTTATAATGTACAATTAAGTCCTAAAACTCATTAGAAAAGTGCAATTGAGTCATAAAACTTTCAAAAAGTGCAAATAAGTCCTAAAATTTGTCACGAAAGTGCAAACAAGCCCTAAAACTTGTCAAATTGATTCAATCAAGTCCTTCTATTGATTGCACTTTTTGAAAATTTTAAAACTTGATTGCACTTTTGTAATAAGTTTTAGGACTTGATTGCACTTTTTGAAAATTTTAGGACTTGATTGCACTTTCGTGACAAGTTTTAAGACTTGATCGCATTTTTTGAAAGTTTTAGGACTCAAATGCACTCTTCTAACAAGTTTTAGAACTTCTAGTGCACTTATCCCAAAAAGGAAAGGATGTTTCCCACCCATTTATTCTCTCAGGTATCACACTATACAGATAATAAAGATTCCTGAAATGTGTAGAAGCAGCACGGAGAAAACACACATGTTCATAAATACATTTGCTTCGACAATTGACACTGTTAACGATTCAAGACAGATTTGTTTGATATGGTTAGAGCATCTGGCGGCATCCCACAAGATACTCCGACAGTGCAAAGAAGCGAAAATGCTGGATTCCCTCCCCAGTGATGCTGCTTTATTGCCAGTCGGACGGGGAGAAACTGCTAATGAAGATTTAACCAAAGAAGCTGATGCCGCGAATTAAATGCAGCCAGGACAAGGATTTAAGGACGGAGACATCGATCCGAAAAGCACGTTCCTATCGCAGAATTGTCTGTAGAATTGTAAGAACAGACGAGACTTTGACCATTTCTCACCTCAGAGGACTGTGTGCCCACCATGGTAATTCCAGCCGTTGAGCGTGACTCGAGGAGTAACACCCCGTGGAACTTCAAAAGAGATTTTGATGGTCATAATTTCGCCCGGCACTAAAGAGAAGTAATTATCCGAGTAATGAACAGGAAGGATTCTCGTGTCTTCTCCTTCCTTGCGGTCTGCCTTCATAGCATGAACAGAGAAATGAAGGAAGAAAGCAACTCCAACGTCGGTCCCATTTATAATGGCGACGTTCGGACTATTAGCTTCCTTCGAAAAGCATTTGCCCACACTCTGGAGTAAACTGGATCGACATTTTACCTCCTTAGCAGGGTGGTCAGAATCCATAGAGGCCAAGTCAATGTCTCCCCCACTATGCCTTGTACTGAAAACATTCCCGTGTGTTAAATTTTGAGAGTCTGACTTTTTAGATGTGTTTTGCACAAGCATGTCAATTTCGTATGTGGAACCTCTGACATAAGCCATAGATGTGATCCTGAGAGGTACTTTCTTCTTCCTGTATGCTTCCAACAGCTTGTAGTTACCACCGGACACATGTAACCAGTAAAAGTTCCTAGATATGATACCAAGATCGGACATATGGTAGAGTTTAAGGAGAAGGAAGTAGACAGGCTTCGGACTTTGCGACTTGGGATATTTCATCTCAACAATGGAAACAGTCTTCTTGGGTGGCACTGAAAGTTTGTCAAAGACCTTGTAGTATGGACATGCTCCCTCCAAATCCCATACCGATGCTTCTATTGCTACGCCAGAGAACTCATCTGATGTGGTATTAACAACCTGTAGAAGCAGACCAAAAAAGGCTATTATCAAGTTCTATTTCACAGGAAAAATTACGAGTTCATGTTCAGGCTATACTGAAGTATGTGTGACTGCATAACTTAATATTGTTGTTCCCCAACAAAGATGTGCATCGAATCTATTGAAAGAATAATAACAGTCTGAGCTCTCACTGGCTTTCTATAGCAAGTTGTACCTCGATAGAATAGGTGGCTAGATTAAGTTGAACATGGATTGGCTCTGCAGCTGAACGGCAGCCGTAGAACCCTGCCGTTTGATCAAGTAGGTGATCATAAAATTGACCTCTAAGACCAGTCCAAGGATTCTGCGTCTTCCATATGAGAACCCCCGTGAATTTTCTCCACATATGAGAAGTCCAGCCTTCCAATAAAGCTCTATATTGTACGTAGTTTACGAGCTGAGCCTGATGAGTCAAAAAAATAATATGTACTCACTGATTGATTAGAAGAAACAAACTAATGGCAACACCCTTCATTGAGTCTTACCTTCAAACAGAAGTCATCAAGATCCTTGGGGGTACCATAGAGTTCGATTTGATCATGAACCTTGTCCGGTTTTGAGTATGGTATGTACTTATGGTATTCCCACATAGGATTTGGAACTTCTTCAGTGTAACCATTTGAAAGTTTCTTGAAGATTGGAATATGCCATCCTTCTGGAGGCATTGTTGCTCTGATGGTAGCTGCAACAGGCATACCCACAGAACCCACTTCTGGATTGAATCCATAATTGTAAAAGTCATCCTTAAAGAAGCTTTCAGGATACTGGATCTCGTAAGGGCCATCAGTCCAGCCGCCCTTGCCATCAGCAAACCCATCCCACATGGACCCTTGAACATAGATGCGTGTTCCATCGAGGTAGAGGCTGGGATCTTTCTCCTCTTTATTCAAATCTTCTAAAGTTTTGTCATGCTCATCCACCTTTTCAAAATAGGGATGAAGTTTGAGGTAATTCTTTAGAGCTGTGTTCAGGTCATCTGGTGGAACTTGTTCATTTCCACCTACCCAAAGAGCCAGACTCGCATGATTCCTCAGAAGCTTGGCAGTGTCTCTCGCACACAGAAGAAATAGGTCATGATCCAGGGGGCCATCCGGATTGGATACTGGGACTCCACGACCATCAACGTCACCAGTAATCCAAAATTCTTGCCAGACCTACAAAAGCTTTATAAGCCATTGGATAGTGGGATAAATTGATTTGCTAACATACTGACAAAAATGATACTAAGCATCTGGAAAGAAGGTTGGCAACTCCAAAATTCTTGCCAGACCTACAAAAGCTTTATAAGCCATTGGATAGCGGGATAAATTGATTGGCTAACATACTGACAAAAATGATACTAAGCATCTGAAAAGAAGGTTGGCTGAGCTGCATTGAAGATTTGACAATGAACCATACAAGTAATGTAGATGTGTCATTTACAAACTCTTAACATGTCATCATGAAGCAGGTGACTGTGAGGATGAATGCCAAACAAGCTCCTACAACTGTGCGCGCGCGCGCGCGAGAGAGAGAGAGAGAGAGAGAGAGAGAGAGAGAGAGAGAGAGAGAGAGAGAGAGAGAGAGAGAGTATTACCAGAAGACCATACATATCACAATAATGGTAAAATTCTGGCCTTTCCGCTAATCCGCCAGCCCAACAGCGGATCATGTTGAAATTCATATCGGCATGGAATTTGATGTCGGTCCTGTAACGTTTCTCTGAAAGTCGCAGTAATCCATCTGATAAAATCCAATTACCCCCACGAATAAAGATGGGCTGCCCATTAACCTTGAACAACCTAAAGAGCACAAGTATATTTACAATGAAAAATACAATTCAATTTCTAATTCTTTCCGTAAATTATGAACTACCTCACCTTCCACCAGTTGCACTATCAATATGGCTCTCAATTTTGCGGAATCCAAATAGATGTCTCCATGCATCAGACTCTCCAAATCCTTTCACTTCAACGCTGACAGCAACATGGTAAAGTGACTGCTTTCCCATGCCATTTGGCCACCATAGATTTGGCTTATAGAAAAACAGCTGCAGGTTGATACCAAGAATCAATTAATTAGGATCGTTTCGATTTTTCCTATATCCAATTTTCCACTTCAACATTTCTTTACATGTAAATTATATTGGCCAAACTCATCAATGCTAGGATGTAGAAGAAGTAAAATCAGGCAGTCTTTTCCTGGGTGATTTTTCTTCTTCAAAAAGAAAGAACAGTTGTTCTAAAAACATTTCCTCTGTGACACTTGAGATACATCAATATTTACTGACCTCCGTAAAGGTATGTTGAGTCCGAGCGCCAGGTGAAATTGACACATGTTCGGTCCGAAGATGCTCTATTGAAGTGACATTGGCCTCAAGTTCTGCAGTCACTTCGATGCTCAAAGAGCATTCAGCAACCCATGTACTTCTATTTTCCAACTCAGTCGTACAATGCAAGTATACTCTCTTATAGTTGTCGAAAAATGACGACACCAAGTGGGGATCAATTAACTTTACAGGCTGAACCAATAATGATTTATCAGATTGGAAATAAATAAAAAAAACTACAGTTATCTTGAATTAACTGATAAATGACAAATTGCAGAACAGTATTACGAATAGAAAACCCGGTTTTACCCCCACAGCACTATTCAAAAGCAACTATGACTTGCTTGCTAACTAATAGTTCCAGACAATTACCAGACAAAAAGTTTTTCCAAACGCAGAGACAAAAGCTTAAGCCATAATATGGCAGCAGTATTTTATCATGATCACCATAAGAGGCCCAGATTGTTAAACAAGGTTTGTCCTATTTTATTAGAATGTTCGACCAAGCTATATAAATCAACTGGCGCATCAACCCCAGGAATTGAAACCGTTGAATTTCAGGACTTATACAAATAAAAAACAGTGATTGTGCACTCACCCCAGTGACGGAAACTGATACTTCATCCCATATGCCAGTATTACGATCCCTATATGAACATAAATGCTGAGCAATCAGAAAGCAAACATGTAGTCTGATGTCTTGTAAATGGATTTAAAACAAATAAATAGATAAGTGAAAAATTACAGAAATTCAACCCCATTCCTTGAAATAAGAAAACCGCATCAGCAAATGGCAGCCAGGATTTTGCTCACTAAACATAAAAAGCAAAAGAAATCCATAGATGACATCACTATTGTAAAATTATGGCGCAACAAGACATCACATCTTGCTAGGAGCTGTCCTGTCCCCATTCTATCTCCACCTTTCTCCTAGGATCAATAGATGCATTTGCTATTCCAGCTTCTCACCCAACATAATCCGAACTGCTAGTATTATAATTACTTAATTGAGATTATCTAATCACAAGTGTTTTAGTTTGAAAAATACCAAATAATGAGAAAAAATAGGAGCACGCACAATATAAACTTCAAAAGTAGTGTAACTAATCCTTTGCAACCTTTCACTCTTTCCCATCTAAAGAAGCAAATAGCTTGTCCCTCCAAAACTCATGAATCACAAACAGTCAGTCTCCGAAGGACCAACTTGAGTGGAAACTAAAGAGGCACATGTACAAATTCCAACAACTACGCAATTTATGGAGAATGTAACCGTTCACACTCTGCTTTCGACATCAGAAGCTTAAAAATAGACACTAAATAACCAGAAGATAGCAACATTGCTCAATCAAAAATAGCAGAAGTTATCATGTATTATTTCTACAATGAGGAGTTGATTACCTTATAGGAGCAATCCAGTCCCAACCCTGAACATATTGTGTTGCGACATCCTTTCCGATCTAATGAAACAAAGATACCATATGAATGTTCCGCAATTCTGATAGGAATCACACTATTAATCCAATTAGACTCGCACAATATTTAATATGTCGTTCCAAACTGCTATAAAATGCAGAGGAAGACATGTTATGCAGAAGCAGGTACATACCTCATGGTCCCCACCTTGTCCTCCCTCTGGAGGTATCGTTCCAGGGTGATCTGGGGGATGAACAAGAACTGCTAGCATGTTTTGTCCACTAGGATGGAGCATGTCAGTAACATCAAGCTGATGTCTTCTGAACATTCCTTTTGGAAGAACCTTTTTGTTCCCATTTAAGTATACTTCCGCAGAGTAGTTAATTGCTCGAAAATTCAGATCGAGGTGTTGTGCTCCAGGCTGTGAAAATTTGAAATAATATAAAGCAGTAGCTCAAGCAAAAGTAACAAAAAGAAATAAATGATGAACACTCAACAACAAGCAGAATATCACTTTGAAAATGTGAAAAATGAGACAACATGTCAACATTGGTAACCGCATTAATTCCATTTTGTGATGAGTAAGAAAATACAGTACCAACTGTCATTTTTCAAAGATGTTTAAGAGGAAGAGCTGATCTTAAAGACATGAAATGGTAAAGGACACAACTTAGCACCGGATAATATTTATTAAGGCCTTCAGAAACCAGCAAAACATGAATTTTGAAATTAATTATGTCAAATATGTTATCATTTAAAGCTCAAGAATTTCAAAGAACACATCTTGATTCTTTTAGCAAGAGTGCAACATACCAGCTTGCATTGGAAAGTCGTAAAAAACCAAAATGTGTAGTGCTCCCTTCCAGAATCAGCAATATCTATAATGGCCTCATTATTTAACCCATAAAAAGGATCTGGAACTGCCTTGTTCTTTACCAGGGTTGCTAAAACACTGCAAGTTATATCACCGTTAGCAATCGAGGCAAATAACTAAGAGAGTAAAAAGGAACTCATACTCTTAACATGACATGCTAGAATTCTTCAGTTAGTGAGGTGTAAACCACATTTCAGATACTTGAATAAGAATATAGACTAAAATGAGCTGGTCAACATTAATTTAGGACAGAACACAGATATCAGAACATCTTGCAAAACTAAGAAAGTTCTACGTTCTTTCTGGACAACTGCATTGACGTTTTTTGCCTTGAAATTCTAACTAGACTATATAATTCACCAGACCACTTACATTCATCCCCGGATCCATTCGATGATTCATAACCGGGGAATCTCATTGCTTCTGCTTTCAAATTGAGATGCGCTTAATTTCCAATTCCAACACTTGTAACCTTCCTCACCACACTCTTTACATCATCGAGAACCCCAATTTCGTTAATCATCTGAAATCATGACTAGACTTAATAAGCCATTCACAAATATCAACATTAGCCTCCAAGCAACCTCACTCATGTCTCATTTAACATCGAGACCAGACTTAGCTTTTCACAAAATTACACCAGAAATAGGTTCAAAGCACTGCACAATCAGCTCTCTCTCTCTCCCTCCACGATCACTGTCCACACTCGAACCGCCCAAAAGAAGTTCCTAACTCAATTCAGACGAATGCGGTCGCCGCAGGAGCGCAACGCACGCGAAGATCACGACTTACGTCCCGGGAACGACGGCCTCCATCCACGGGGGATCGGCTCCGGTCGGAGGGTGCGTCGTGGTGAGCTGCGCCCCGGTGAGCTCCACCTCCGTCGATCTCGCCGCGAGCCATCCGGAATCGAGCTTCGTCTTCCCGATCCCCGCGATCACCGGCGCCGCCGCGGCGGCGGCCATCATTCTCCTCCGTCAAGCGGGAGCTCACGCGCAGTGCGACGGCGAGCGAACGAGCGATGCGAAGACCAGCTCGCAAGTCTTCATCCGCTTCAGCAGTAAGAGTCTGTCTTGTAGTCTCTGCCGGTCTCGAATTTTCGTCGCTATCCGTGGCTCGCGGGGGGAGTTTTTCCTTCCTGTTGCCGCGGCCACGCGAAGTCTTGATTGCGCGGGACGTCCCGGATGATAGATGGACGGTGCGGATCAGCGGTTTCTCGGAGAGAGCACCAGGAGCGAGAAGCACTGGATCCTGACCGTAGCTCACCGTCGGACAAGGTGTCGGTCTGCGGCATTAGCGTGTGGGATTGCGGTTTACGGATGCGACAGGTTGCCATAACTACGACCTCGCCGCATCGTCGTTTTTGGCGCAGTTCGGCAGGGAAAAAAAAAAATGAAGTAGGAAAAAAGAGGGAAAATCGCCGTTGCCGGGGATCGAACCCGGGTCACCCGCGTGACAGGCGGGAATACTCACCACTATACTACAACGACCTTGTTGATGTAGGAGCTCTGTTTTTTTAATATTATAATTTATTAAAATGATAAGTTATTCATCTTCTTTTAGCTAAAAATTAAATTTTTTAAAAAGGAAAGTACCATTAAAGGCCTTAAAATATGCCCACGGCGCACCGATACCCTGAACTTTTTTGATGTTGCCAAACCCCCCCCTCCCCCCCCCAAAAAATAGCAATGTGACGAAAATATCACCGTGTCTTGTCGATATCTAAAACTTGTGCCGTTGTAGCAAAACTTTGGGTATTGATGTTACAGACGCTAGGGGCATAGCTTAAGGGTTATAGTGATGCAAAAGAAGTTTAGAGCATTTGTGTCATAGTAGCTTCGTTTGTTTCGCGAAAAATAAATGATTTGAAAAATATTTTCTTAAAAATGATCGTTTGTATTACTAATGATGCTGATCGGTCATTTCTCTCAATTGCCAAAACAAACTCACCAAATGAAAATTCCATGGAAGCGATCCTCCCCCAATAAGACAGGCATGTTTGCTTGCCATCTCTCGCTTTTTCCACAATTGCAACCATATCCAGGAAATGGTCCATACATGGCATGTTTGCTTGCCATCTCGGGCAAAGGCGCAGAGAGAAAGAGAGAGATTGGCCACTCTTTGGAAGCTCGGGGGCAAAGATTCGAGGGAGACTACGGGCTTGGTTGACAGAAATGTGCAATTTTCCCTTCGATGTTCAGTGTGGGCAGGATATCCTAAATTTTACGTGCGAAAGCGAAATAAATAATTGAGAAAAGGAATGCAAGATAATGCATAAGAACGTCTTTTTCTTTGAACTCAATCTCCGAGATAAATGACTTTTTGGAGGAAAAACTTATGTGTCACAATTGAACGCATAACAAAATAGTTTATAATTTTTATAGTTTGGGATATTGTGTTATAATGGGCATGATTTAGGATTTTCGATGGTATTTACGGTTTTTATAATCCAATAGGAGTTTAAATCATATTAACATGTGTGTTTTGTTTTGGAGAAAACTTTACAACGAAAAAATATGATTTTTGGGAAATTCTTTTCCAAGGAAAATGTTCTAGAAAGTTCATTTTCTTAACTTTAAGCATGCGCTTTTTCTTTGATCGTGAATAATTTTCTGTTGATCGATTATTTTCAGCAAAATAAAATGAGTGAAAATCCAGAAACTAATTCGTGAAAAATTCTTTCACTCAAACAAGCACGTTTTATATTTATTTAAAAAATGTCGCATTTATTTAATTAAAATGAAGGAAATTAATCTTATATGTAGGATTCGCCACACCCACGTCATCAAACTATTTACGTACGCAAGTGGATAAACATTGCAACCCTCGTCTCATTAAAAAGCGTGCCACCACATCTTCCTTTTTCCCGCTAATTAATCTCCACTTTAATCAGTAATTAAATTAAATTTAAAGCAAAAACCGATATAATAATATCAAAATTAACAATTATGACGTCAGCATTTTGAACTGGACACCTCATCATTTGCCGGCTTTCTTTAAGAAGACGCAAAGCTAAGAAAACAGAGAAAGCAAAAACTCTCTCATCGCCTTCCGATCAGTTCCTCTCGAGAGGAGAATTCTTTCCATGGCGTCGCTTTCCCGGGAAAACTTCACGGAATCCGCGGCTCGGCGCCGCCTCCGGGCGGTTCGGCGCCACCTCCTCCCCTACGGCGGCGGCGTCGCCGATGGCCTCGATCTCGGCTCCCGCGTACAGGCCAGCGCTGCTTCCGGCGATCTCAACGGTATTCATTTCTGTCGGAGAGAGCTGTGTGATCGGGCGTGCTTATTCTCGCGCTCTCCTCCGCTTCCTTCCTCTCTTGTGTTTCTACGTGTTCAGCTCGCTCGCTCGTTCGTTCTCGCAAGTCGCGGATAGTAGTTTTCTTTCGCGCGTGTTCTGTTTTAGCACGCTTCTGTTGTTAAGTTCGATTCGAAACTGCATAGGGAATCGCCGTCGTGACTTGTTCATCGGTGACGGATTTTCCGGCGACGATGAGAGAAACTAGCGATCGAGAGCTCCGTTTTGAAGTAAGGAGGCCTCTGGTCAGTTACTTTCGTGGAATAACTGAGTCGCTTCAGTATTTTCAACTTCCGATCGACTTTCTGAATCTTTTGAATCGTGAAGTCATCATCGCTGGAGAGCAGCTGAGTGAATAATTCCAATAGTCATGAAGGACCAGTGGTGATCGTCCTCACGATCGCATCACCTCATCGCTTAGTGGAAATGTAGGTCTTCATGCGCCTGAGTGAGCTACCTATTACCTCCGAATTTGTCCCTTCCAGGTCGAGCGCGAATATGTTTCTCTAACCGTAAGTTGAGACAACACCTATGTTGCGTCGATCAGAAACAATTTCTTGAAATCGCCAGTGGGTGATCTGTTATAGGAGTTTTGGCGGAGGCCTAATTTGTGTCATGAAAACGTCTATAAGGTGGAACTGAAATTACAATGCACGATAGTTTATTCCATTTGCGCTCAGTTGTCTGAGGAAGGTAGGCCGAGTCATTTTAAGTAGAACTGTTGCTACTGCTATGTAGTTATACACACTCGGCCTGCATTGAGTTGTTGGCTTTATTTTCTGCATAGGAAGGGATTACAGTGTGATTCTTCCTGAAGACCTGCGTACCGGGAAATGGATTGTTTATAGGTACTTATTCTTATCATGGTGAAGTTAGCTAGTATTGGTGGAATCTTGAAGCGACATGTCTATAATCTCTCTTCCCTTGGCAGATCCGCACGCTCTCCTTTGAAGCTTGTCAGTAGATTTGCAGATCACCCCAATATTGGAACGTTGCATGACAATTTCGAGTCAGGCTCTCTCTTTACTTGATGATAGTTTTTTTTTCCCAATTAAGTGATTCGTGGCATTCACTGAGACAGCTTTTAGTAATTAGAATAGCTCTCCTTTCGTTTCCTTCTTTTGAAATGTTATTGCATCCATATGCATCATAGGATCTGCATCTGTGAGTATTTATGATGTCTTTTGGGTGCAGACATGCCATTGAAACATTTCGGGATTACAAGTACTTAGGTACTCGAGTTCATGTCGATGGGACAACAGGAGAGTAAGTTGGTTATAGAGTGTGCAAGTTTTTCATTTTTCATATTCTATCAGTTTACCTGATAAAATTTCCTGCATTCCTTTTGAAATTCTAAGGTACAAATGGATGACATATGGTGAAGCTGGAAGTGCTCGAGAAGCTATAGGTTCTGGACTTCGCTATCATGGGTTACTTGAAGTGAGAAGCAGGATGTTTTCTGAGTATTGCTCCTTAAGTCATTCTGAAGTTGTTAAACATATAGTGTTCGAACTAAGGATGGTATTGTTGGTCTCTTTGTTGCAGGGAGTTTGTGTTGGACTCTACTTTGTTAATAGGCCAGAGTGGCTGATTGTAGATCATGCTTGTTCAGCATATTCTTATATCTCAGTCCCTCTATATGACACGCTTGGTGTGTAATAGCAATTACTATTTTGTTTCTGCCCTGTCAAGCCTCTTCTTAGTTTTAACTTTTGTGTTTCACAGGCCCCGATGCTGTGAAGTATGTTGTGAATCATGCAGCTGTACAGGCTATCTTTTGTGCTCCCCAAACTCTGAACACAGTGAGTTGGCTCTCTATCGCAAAAGAAATACCTGTACATTAATTCTTGTAATGGAGGAATACATGATCTTCCGACAAAAGTAGACTGCACATCATTTTACATTAACAATTTTATATTTTCATTGTTTTTCATTCACTTATTCTGCAGTAAAAGTACAGTAATTCTACTTCTATTGTTTATGATTAGTGAGGAATTCATCTGTTGGAAAGTTTCAGTCTCATTGTTTCTGACCTGTAAATGGACCATGAAGCACAATAGCTCTTGCTGATGGAGCTGAACTAGAACAAATTTCATCACCGGCTCTTCACATATAAATTACAGTGGTCGTTAGTCTGTCTTTCGAGCCAACAACATTTAGGTCTGTCTATTTGATAAGCTATATGACAAAACACGTGTGTCCTATTTTGTATGTCATCCATTCAGTTTATATTTCTGACGCACCTATTATATCTCAACTTTGTCTCTGTTTTTCGCAGTTATTGAGCTTCTTGTCTGAGATTCCAACTGTTCGTCTAATTGTGGTGAGTATTAAGATCGAAGTTGCAAAATGGGCAACTAATTGTTTGATGTTTTCCTTTTGCTCACACTAGACTTGCTGCTCTGGAAAAATAGGTCGTTGGAGGAATAGATATACACTTGCCCTCCCTCCCACCAACGTCGAGAGTTGAGCTGATTTCATACTTGAAACTTCTGAGTCAGGTATGATGCACTTCCTTAGTGAACTTATCGTACCAGCCTTTGATTAAACACTCAATCCTTCATTGTTTGAGAAATTTTTTTGAAGAGACATGGAATTTTGCCATCCTGTTTTTTAAAACATTATTGCAATTTTTAGAAGCTTGTCCTGCTGACTAGTTTAGTCATTTTGGATTATCAGATAAAAAGTCCTGGCACCAATTTCTTATTATACTCGGATCATTCCCCTTCTCATATTGTAATAACATGAAATTTTCTTTTAAAGACACTTGGCTTCAAAATGAAATGAAGTGACTGGGTCCTTTTTGTGCATAAAGAGCTGTAGAAGCTAATTTGTTGGCTTTAAACTGTTAAAATAATTGTCACTCCAGAAGAATTGAATGCTGTGGACTCTTTATTTTTGGCCAAAAATGTTTTGGGCTTTTGGACTATAGGTGCTTGTTAGGTATAGATTGCGTCAGCTGAGTACTTCTCACTTAATATTATTGAGATCGTGAACTTATTGGCATCAAGTGCCTTCTGCAATATCTATAGTGTTATCTTATTTCATAAGTTTGTGATGGACATAATGACGTGGTTGTCTGTAATTAGTTCGTCCAAATTATCTGATCACAAATTCTCTCTAGTCTTTGGGATTTTAGTGATCATCAAGTTAAAGATGTCTTCCTTTAGGGTTGTAGCAATCTCCAGCCTTGTTGTCCTCCAAAACCAGAAAATATTGCGACTATATGCTACACAAGTGGAACAACCGGAACACCAAAGGTAGAAGTTTAGATTTTTTAGTATGGTTTCTTTTATGCTGCACATGTTGGTTTTATGACATATTACTGTGCATATGAAATTCATTTGCTCCTTGTTTAACATCAAAGGGGGTTGCGTTGACTCATGGAAACTTGATTGCAAGTGTAGCTGGGTTTAGTCGAGCGATCAAATTTAACCCATCAGATATGTGAGTCCTTTATCATTTGTTGTTCCATTACATAAGTACAGCCAGCCTCAAGGTTTTTCAATTACATAATTGGTAACTTATTGTACTGTCATTTCATTTTTCGCTGTCCCTTGATATATTTTTCTCTCGACAGCTATATATCGTATCTCCCTCTGGCACATATATACGAAAGAACCAATCAGATCCTTTCAGTATATTACGGGGTTGCTGTCGGTTTTTACCAAGGGGTATGTTGCTTATCTGGAAAACTATATGCAAGTCCAACTATGTCCACGTTTGATTCCTTTGGTTTGTCAGTACGGAGCACTAAGAAAATGAGGAGAATTAGTGACATTTTCCATAACATAATCCTTTAAAATACTTAACCTCAACTCAAATCTATCAGCATCCTTTTCTGTTGATCATATTGATACAAGGAAAATGCAGTAGTGTATAGATAGAATGATGTTCAATACATATACAAAAATAAGCCCTAGGACCTAAAGGTCCTAAAGACCACTTTACCCTTCTAACACTCCCCCTCAAACTGGAGCATAGATATTAATCATGCCCAGTTTGTTACAAATATATTCTATCCTCCCATTACCCAAAGGTTTAGTAAAAATGTCTGCAAGTTGTTCACCGGTTCGAATGTGACTAGGAAGGATCGCTCCACTCTGCAACTTTTCCCGAATAAAATGACAGTCAACCTCAATGTGTTTTGTTCTCTCATGAAATACAGGGTTGGAAGCTATATGCACTGCAGCTTTATTGTCGCACCATAAAGTCATGGGCCCTGAAGCTTTAAAGCCTAACTCGATCAACAACTGTTGAATCCACACTAATTCACATGTCACTTGTGCCATGGCTCTATATTCTGACTCAGCACTAGAGCGGGCAACAACGTTTTGTTTCTTATTCTTCCATGATACTAGATTTCCTCCAACCAAGGTACAATAGCCAGTAGTTGATCTCCTATCATCTGGAGACCCTGCCCAATCAGCATCAGAGAATCCTTCAACTTTACTATGACCATGGTTCCGGTAAACAATTCCTTTCCCTGGAGTCTTCTTCAAGTACCTCAATATCCGAATAACTACATCCCAATGAGATGTACGAGGGGAAGACAGAAACTGGCTTACAACACTAACTGGAAAGGCAATGTCTGGTTGAGTGACTGTGAGATAATTCAGCTTACCTACCAGCCTTCTATATCTCTCAGGGTTATCAAGGATTTCTCCTCCCTCAGCGGCCAGTTTAACCCCTCGTTCCATGGGTGAATCAAGAGGCTTTGACCCCATCATACCTGTCTCAATGAGTAAATCTAGGACATATTTTCGCTGTGACAGAACAATACCTTTATGTGAATGTGCCACTTCAATCCCTAGGAAATACTTCAACTTTCCTAAGTCCTTAGTCTGAAACTGTTGCTGAAGATAGATCTTTAGTTCAACTATACCAGCCAAATCATCTCCCGTAATGATAATATCATCAACATCCACAATCAAGAACAGTTTGCCTCCCCCCGACTGTTTATAAAAGAAAGAGTGATCATTTCCACATCTAAATAATCCAAAAGAAAGTATAGCCTCAGAAAATCTTCCAAACTATGCCCGTGGGGATTGCTTCAAACCATATAAAGACTTTTTTAATTTGCAAACCATAACCCCAGACTCTCCCTGAGCAACAAACCCCGGAGGTTGCTCCATATACACTTCCTCATGAAGTGTACCATGCAAGAAAGCATTCTTGACATCAAGCTGAAACAAGGGCCAATTATATGTGGCAGCAAGGGATATCAAAATACGAACAGAAGTAAGTTTGGCAACAGGAGAAAATGTGTCCAGATAGTCAACCCCATACACCTGAGCATACCCTTTTGCAACAAGTCGTGCTTTTAAACGAGCAAGAGAACCATCAGGATTGACTTTCACAGCAAATACCCAATGACAACCAATAGCAGTTTTGCCTGAAGGAAGAGGTACCAAGTCCCAAGTTTGATTAACCTCGAGAGCCGTTAATTCTTCTTCCATTGCTGTCCTCCAGCCAAAATTTTGTAATGCCTTAGATACAGACTTGGGGATAGAATATTGTTCAACAGTAGATAAAAAGGACCGAAAGGAAGGAGACACAGAAGAATATGAGATGAAATTTGCAATAGAGTGTTGAGTACAAGTACGTGTACCTTTGCGATGAGCAATAGGAACGTCAAGATCAGATACAAGAGGAGAGGCAGCTAATGGCGGATCTGGAGCAGAAGATGACGTAGTAGTAGCAGGAGGCAGGGGGGAAGCAGTTGCCACTCGAGGACGTCGAGTATAAACCTGGAGAGGAGGTGGTTCCTGTGTAGAGACTGGTGAAGTAGTTGGAGCAGTTGACCGAAGGGTAGTCATAGTCACATAAAAGTCTTCATCCAACTCAGAAACAGAAATTGGAACATCATGATAAGGAGTGGATTCAAAGAATGAAACATCAGCAGTTATAAAGTATTTTCTCAATAATGGAGAATAACAACGATATCCCTTTTGAGTACGGGAATAACCCAAAAACATACACTTGATGGCCTTGGGATCAAGTTTTGATACTCCAGGTCGATGATCACGAATAAAACAGACAACCAAAAATACGGGGTGGTAAGACAAATAATGACACATTTGGAAACAAAGTAGAAAAAGGAATACCACCTCGCAAAACAGAAGAGGGCATGCGATTGATGAGATAGCATGCAATCGAACAAAGATCACACCAAAAGGTTTTGGGAACCTTCATTTCAAACAACATGGATCTAGTAACATCCAATAAGTGTCTATTCTTTCTTTCAGCAACACCATTCTGTTGTGGTGTATCAGGACAGGAAGATTCATGGATCATACCATCTTGAGTCATAAAATCAGAAAAGGGGGCAGAAAAGTACTCTTTAGCGTTATCAGAACGCAAAACCTTAACATGCACACCAAACTGTGTATGAATTTCATGAATAAATGCACGGAATATAGAAAACAATTCTGACCGATTTTTCATTAGATATAACCAAGTGATTCTGGAATAATCGTCAACAAAAGTAACAAAGTATCTAAAACCCAGATTGGAAACCACATGACAAGGACCCCAAATATCTGAATGAACTAACGAAAACGGGGACGCTGCTCGTTTAATGACTCGTGGCGAGTAACTAATACGATGTAATTTGCCAAGCTGGCATGAGTCACACTCTAAACTGGAAAGGGACCTAAAACTAGAATCTAACTTCTGAAGACTATGTAGAGAAGGATGACCCAGACGACAATGAATTTGATGTAGGGATGCAACACTAGGACATGCAATGGAACGAGCGTCTTCAAGCACATACATCCCCCCTACCTCACGTCCTCTACCAATCGTCGTCTTCGTAGCCAGATCCTGAAAAATACAGGAATCAGGGTAGAATGTTACTGAACATTGGAAGTTTTTAGTGAATTTACTGACAGACATGAGGTTAAACGGAAATTGTGGCACATAAAGCACTGAGGACAATGGCAATGAAGTAGTTGGATAAACTGTGCCAACCCCCTTAACATGTGTAAATGATCCATTGGCTATGGTAACTGTGGATGAAGATGGAGTAAGAGAGGAAAATACACTTGAAAGACCCGACATGTGATCAGTAGCCCCTGAATCAATTATCCAAGGACGAGAAGTAGCTGAAGGGCATGTAGTAGCATTACCTGTCTGTACCAAAGTAGCAGTGGAAGAAGCAGGCTGTGAGATCTGAAGCTGGGTGTACCGAGCAAATTCCTCATTAGACATAACCACTACCTTGCCTTTAGAAGACCGTGTAGAAGAATCAGTAACAGACGCAATATTTGCAAATTGTTGTTTCTGCCCTGGTCTACCATGTAATTTGTAACAAAATTTCTCAATATGGCCAGGTTTGCCACAGTAATGACAAGTCCGTGTGGCCCCTGAGTTATCGGTGGACACGTGAGATGGTCCATAAAGATGTTGGCCTTGGCCTGAATACAATACATCCAAATACTCCCACATTTCTTTGACCGTGTCAACATGAGTTACAAGATCAACTATATAACTTTCCATAGAATTTAACATTTGACCAAGGATACGTGCATCAGTTACATCCCAAGTTGCATCATCTTTGTGTTTAGGCTCAGTTATGTGTCTATGTTGATTCCTGTCGGTCAAAGTAAGCTTCACAATTTTCTTCCATTGATGGAAGTTAGAACTACCCTCAAGCTTCCTATAAGTAATTCGATTAGACAACGAGGAAATCACCTCAGGATTATTCTTCTCAAAATCACCAATTCTCCAATGACAACAAGAGAATTCTCGCAATATTTTCCCTCATGCACCTCAATCTCAACCTCAACAGTTCAGCAATCCAACATAATTGATAACAATCCAACACAATTGAAGATATATCACCACATAAAAGAGCCTCCACGACCCACAAACACCACCATTCGATAAACTATAACTCAATTAGTCAATCACCCGCAATCTAAGGTCTGAAAAACCAAGAAATCAGACCTGTCCAGACCTCAACATATTCATGAAGACACTAGAACTTCTGATATTTGGCCTAATCAAGCAAATTTACCGCATCATTTCGTGGCTGCAAGAGCCGGGAGTCACCGAGCCACAAAAACACCTCCACTCACAGCAATGGCGAGGAAACTTCCAGTCACTTCAGCTCACGAACAGAAGAATACCTCCAATAGAGCAGAGGGAAGAGGAAGGCCAGGTTTGCTTCACAAGTTAGAGGTGGCGAAGGTGAAGAAGGTTCATCAGCAGCGTCCAGCAGGAACGTCACTGATTTCAGCTCATGAACGGGGACCTCACACGAACTGGGTCGCGCGAGCAGGAGGCTCCACTCACTTCAGCTCATGAACAGGGACCTCGCGCGAGCTGGGTCGTGCGGCTGGAGGCTCGCGCGAGCTCGAGCTGGGTCGCGCGGCTGGAGGCTCGCGCGAGCAGGAGCCGGGTCGCGCGAGCAGGAGCCTCGCCCGAGTTGGGTGAGCTGCCCGCGCGAGTTGGGGCGCGAGCTGGTCGCCGGCGGATGCAAGCTCTTCCGGCGACGGCTAGGGTGGGGTTGGGGTTGGGGTCGGGTACCAAGCTCTGATACCATGATACAAGGAAAATGCAGTAGTGTATAGATAGAATGATGTTCAATACATATACAAAAATAAGCCCTAGGACCTAAAGGTCCTAAAGACCACTTTACCCTTCTAACACATATATTCGTCCCCATCAATTAAAAGCCATGAATCTTGTCTAAGATACAAGCCTAAATGTCATTCTTCCATATGTGGATTTAAGGGTAATGTACCTGCATTAATGTAAGAAAACATATTACAATATACACTTGATTTCATGTACTTACCCTGAGGCTTTTATTCTACATCTCTTACTAAGCAATAGGTCCTCCTACTTTTCAGGACAACATGAAACTGATGGACGATTTGGCTGCTTTGAGACCGACAATTTTTTGCAGTGTTCCTCGGCTGTTTAACCGTATATATGCAGGGTGAAGAGACAGCCAACTGTTTGTCAAATCCTTTTCTTGACACGGGGAACTGCTGATTTCTATTTTGTTTCAATAATGGCAGAATAATAAATGCTGTGAAGTCTTCAGGGACGCTAAAGGAGAGACTATTTAGAGTTGCCTTCAATTCGAAGAAGCATGCTATATTGACAGGTATTAATGCTAGGAAGTTTCTTGCAGGATAATATGGGCCATTCAGTTCTTGATTGGCTGTTTAACTTTTAATTTTTTGCCTCTGTTGACCCGAATGGTTGAAAAATGTGTTAGGCCGGAATCCATCACCTATGTGGGACAGACTAGTATTCAATAGAATAAAGGAAAAGCTTGGAGGGCAAGTCCGTTTCATGGGATCTGGTGCTTCACCGTTATCTCCTGATATCATGGACTTCTTAAGGGTGTAAGTGTGCTTGAAATGCTGCACTTATTTGAACAACTGAGCTCCATTCTTTTTTTTTTTTTTTTGGTAAGGAAACTGAGCTCCATTCTTTTATCTCTCATGAACAGAAGTCTATTTGCTGCTTTTCTGTTGCTCCTAATTTCACCATACCACAGGTGCTTTGGCTGTCAAGTGCTTGAAGGATATGGTATGACCGAGACATCTTGTGTAATAAGCTGTATGGATGAGGGCGACACTTTATCTGGTCATGTTGGATCTCCAAATCCTGCCTGCGGTGAGTTCAACACAGTAGTTTTACATACTCAAAATGTGTGCCTCATTTAATTTAATCTGTTGAGACTTTTGCTTGTGTCTGTGCTTATCTGAAACTTTTCCAGAAATAAAGCTTGTGGATGTTCCTGAAATGAACTACACGTCAGAAGATCAACCCTATCCTCGTGGAGAAATCTGTGTCAGAGGCCCCATTGTCTTCCAAGGATACTACAATGATGAAGTTCAAACGTGCTTAACCTCTTCAACTTATATTTTTAAATCTATTAAGTTTTACCGCAATCTAAATTTCCTGTTGAATGAGCAGGAGAGAGGTGATTGATGGTGACTCTTGGTTGCATACGGGAGACATTGGGTTGTGGTTACCGGGTGGGCGCCTTAAAATTATTGATAGGTGAGTCGAATATTACAGTATTTTCCTCACCTAACCATAGTGGTAAGGGGTCCCTTATGACGCGAGGAAAGGAGCATGGGTTGAAATTTACCTTTATTAGGACAGTAAGTACTGGTTGTGAAACTTCTGAGTGTCACTTAAGCATTGAAGTTCTTTTCTTCATTCATGTCTTCTCATGAGATCTCTCTGATAATTTCTAATTCCCAGTTTAAATCCTACATCATGCTATGACAGGAAAAAGAATATTTTCAAGTTGGCACAAGGTGAATATATAGCACCAGAGAAGATCGAGAACGTGTATTCCAAGTGCAAATTCATCTCACAGTGCTTTGTATATGGTATGGAAGAAGAATTTACCAGCACATGATACTTTCTTTCTTCATTTTTCCCATCCACAGCCCAGCGACTGCAACAGATTTCGCTCTCTTGGTCAACCCCAAGGACGGGTTTGATCCATTCCAACGTGTTGTTACGAAGGCTGGTGCGCCGGCCTTTATATGAAATTTCCTACAAGTCTGCTGACTGCTTGTTTGTCTCAGGTGATAGCTTGAACTCTTACTTAGTGGCGGTTGTCACTGTGGACCCAGAAGCACTGAAAGAATGGGCTGCATCGCAAGACATCAAGGTTTTCTTTAAACTTATTTCTCTCCACCAAAATTCTAGCTTGAGCCTTGAAGTTCAGTCATTGGTTGTTATATTATTTCTTCACAATCAGAACGTTGTCATTTGGGGAAAGTATGCATCTTTCTGAGTAGGCTGATTTATATATCAAGGACATCTTCATTTCACTTCAGCGAGAAGTCGTAACATGCATCATCTTTATCTAATTGAGCTTTGTCTGTGGCCATCTACCCTTTTCTAACTATTTGTACGACTGCGAGTCCCACTGCTCTTTCTTATTATCCTTGACAGCTACTGAAGGGGAACTCTGCGCACTGAAAAGGCAATGACTGTGACCATGATTAGCGTTTTATGTTGATATTAGTTCACATGCATTTGTTTCAAGATCCAGCGAGACTGGAGGTGCTGCAGAGCTTGTTGCGATTATTAGATTATTTTGTGAGCCTGCATTATCGATGGTCTCAGTGCATTTGTGAATCTGCATCGCACCAAATAAAAAACTGTAGTTACTTCATGCCATATGCTCGCCATTTTTTTTTTTTTATCTAGGGGGTTGTCCATTGATAAGTTTGGTTCTTGCCATGCAGTATGAGGCTTTAGAACAGCTATGCAATGACCGGCGGGCACGGGAAGCCGTTCTTACTGAAATGGATGCCATCGGCAGAGAAGCGGAGGTATACTGTGTCCTCTAAAGAGATCATCGACAGCCTCTACTTAGGTAAACATTTTTCCATTTAACTTCCTCTTATCGTGTTGCTTCCCTTTTTTCAGTTGCGAGGCTTCGAATATGTGAAGGCTGTGACACTGGTGCTCGAACCATTCACGGTGGAGAACGGACTTCTCACTCCAACATTTAAGGTGATTCCATGTTGCCTTTGCTTTTTCACCTTAAAAACTAATCGCATGAGCGAGAGTCGTTGCATTTCGGATAAACATAGCAAAGTGTACTCAGAAGTTAACATAATCTCTTTTATTTGTAGATCAAGAGGCCTCAAGCCAAAGCCCACTTTGCTAAGGCGATATCGGACATGTACACTGAGCTCTCTACATCCGATCCATCTCCTGATGCGTAAGTCGCGAAAAACATCTGAAAATTTAAAAAAAATCATTTGTATATGGAGAAATTACTCAAGGGTACGAGGCAGAAGCTGATTGTTGCACAAGCTACGAAATTAGGTCTCTGTAATTTGCTCTTCTGTTTGATTGTATACTCTTAACGGTGCAGTTTAAGCATTCAGTCTTAGGTGAATACTGTCGCCATCGCTGTTCACTTTTAAGCTGATTCGGCATATCATCCTACAATTTATTGTAACGGCAATTCCACACAACAGTGGGACAGAGTCCCAAACAAATTTTATAATAACGAAAGAAACTTAACGGTAATCACTGAATTGGAAGGGGTCGCGTATTGTCCCAAAGCCATTGACGAGCGGAACCGTCTAGCAGCGGCGAAACCTGTGGAATGGGGACGGCAGAAGAGTTAAATTAATCGGTGGGTTTTAGGGGGGGAATAAACTCTCTTTTTAGTCATCTGTTCTCGAAGTAGGGCCTGACCTTTTCCCAGACTTGTGCATGGTAGTCGTTGAGCCAGTTGATCTCGGCGGAAGAGAGCAAGGCCGAGTCCACCATTTTCATCTGCACAGAAACTCACGAAATAAGGATGAGCACCGACAGCCAAAAGAAGCACCAAGAAACACATCCCCGTCGAGAAAAAAAGAAAGCACCGCGCGCACCTGAATCGGAACAAACGTGAGTTTCTCAAATCCAAGATAACCAACCCCTCCAAAGCGATTTGGCGTGTTCATCTCCACCACAGTAAGAAGGTTCTGCAGAATAAAAGACCGGTTGATCTCAAGACTCAGCAGAGCAAATTTCAGGGATTTGCGGACGACAACAGGCAAAAAGACGACAGAACTCCGATTGAATCAGAATCTCTGTATGAGGCAAGTAAATACAGCAAGGGTGAAAAGCAACTGCATGAATCGAAAACGTTGAATATATCTCAAGAAGCAACCAGCTAGAATTATGACAAGGTGAGGAACTCATTTCGAGAATATTATCCATCCGTTCAGCAGTAATGCACCTCTGAAACTCTTTATCCAAAGAGCTACTAGAATGTATAGAATAAGTGCCCATAAAATACTTTATCAAAGAAAAAAAAAAGTGCCCAAAAAATACATATGCCTACGCAGGATGTGGAGTTTTCAGGAAATTCTTCCGCCCAGCTGAGGATGCAGCGTATCCCACCACCTCCTTTTTCCTATCCGCTATATAGATCCAGGTAGCCTATTGTGCTCTATCACACCTCAACTTACAGAATAGGCACGAAATCTCTTTTTACCATCCCGCAAATAGGATTTGGGTGCCAATATCTCTCATAAATCTTATTTAGGAAACAAAACTATTTATGATAACTGATGTCTTACCTCAATACGAATGCCAAAGGCATGGTCTTCGTAGTAACCAGGTTCGTTGCTCACAACCATGCCTTTCTGTAGGGAGGTCAGATTCCCATAGCGGAAACTAATACTTTGCGGTCCTTCATGAACATTCAGTGCAGCTCCCACGCCATGTCCAGTCCCTATTGCAAGGAAAGACCAAGAGGCCGTGCTTGAAAGTATTCTCAATAGTATTTCGAATAAACAAGCAGCTAAGGAATGAAATGTACCATGCCGATAGTCGAGGCCAATCTTCCATAGAGACGAGCGAGCGAACGCATCCAGGACAAAGCCAGGGGTATTTTCAGGAAAAACAGCTTGATCGAGAGCTATGTGGCCCTGAAATTAAAGGTTTCATCAAGAATGGGGAGGCAAACAATTATTAGAAATCACAAGAGTTCAGCCTAAAACATTAGATTAGGATGGACATTGTGAAAAAAGAAAAAAAGGCGCAACAAGAAACAATGCACAATATATGCAAACAAAGAACATTCATAGTTTTGGCCCCACCTAAAAAAGGAGGGAAAGAGATCATGCCTAGTTGCACAATATCCTTATAACTGGAAATTTGTGTTTGTAAACTCATGCAGAAATATATAAGGGTCTTGTTAACAAGCACCCCAAGAGCGCTTGATAATAACCTAAAGATAGAAATTTTTTTTTCCAATGCACATTAATGAACATCGAAGATTGAACATATATTTCCTTGTTGGCATGTCATGAATAAAGCTACAAGTGACAAAGCAAAATTAATACTTCTCATCAAGTGTCCTAGGGCACAATTTACGGAAATCCAATATATAAAGAACGCCACCAGATATTAGTGAGAAAGCTCATATTCAATGTCGTAGAAAATAAATGTATAAATGAAGAAGCGCGACTGGGTGAAGCATTTGACAAATTAAAAGAACCGAGCACCTGCAAAACTCGGGTGAAGCATTCCTTTTGTCGTGGTGTGGGTTCCCCAAAATGCACTGTTCTTGTTATATCAGTTGTTCCATCAACATATTGAGCACCACTATCTAGCAGGAACAGCTTCTCGACATCCAAAACACTGCAACTGCCTGGTTCTGGTTTGTAATGTATGATAGCACCATTGGCCCCAGAACCTTCAAATCCATATGGATAATGAGTGAGAAATAGCGGACAGGTGAGAGATGAGATTTCCAGAAAAGTGACTTCTCCCAAGCGATGCAAAAATATTTTCTAGCCCTTTTACAACAAAATCATCACTAAAAGTCTACCTCCACTTGTTTGCACACTATCCAACGTCATATCCTATCCAATTCTACTTGCAAAAAGAAAAAGTGAGAAAGAGAATCCACCAAAATTAATTTTAAAAGAATCGATAAGAATCTTCATTTTTCAGGGACAACATCAGGAGAGGAGAGAGAGAGAGAGAGAGAGAGAGAGAGAGAGAGAGAGAGAGAGAGAGAGAGAGAGAGAGAGAGAATTTCTTCATTTTCACTGCAAAAAGTTATCCAAGACGTTGAAACATAAAATGTACCACTTATTGTGTCGAAGCTTGTATCAATGAAACCGTCCTGCATAGAACGAAACTCGAGGAGCTTATCTGCAACTTCCACTTCTGTAAGTTTAGCACCCCTATTAATTTCTTCTTCCAACCAGACCCAGAAATGAGCTAGAGCTGCTGCATCCCTGCAGACGAAATATATTTCACTAAGATCACTGGATCCTTAGTAAACATACCGACATAGATAGAGACATTTTTTCAAACAAACAAGCTTCCTAAAACAGCAGTGCTTAATATGTCAATGAGCTTCACATTTACAGATCTAAGTGTTTTCTCTATCGCTGTGAGATCACTCTCGCACATGTCAACAGATTCAACCTATTATCGTGTTTTTCCTTCCACACCGCAACTTTAAGAGAGATACCGATTTGACCAATAAAGTGTCCTGCAGCAAAATCTACTTATTCACGCACTGAAGTCTATTTAGGTTTCATCAGGAGGACAGAATACCAATAAAAATATTTACTAAGCATTCTTCATAGACCACAATGCTCAGGTCAATCAATAACATATGATCAGCATTCTTAATTTGAAAATGCACTGTAAGGTCAAAAGACAAGTAATTACCTCTCTCCCCAAAAAATTTGCACATCTGCCTATAAAAAAATGCACCAACAGGTGCATTCCCACGAACACATGAAGAAATTTCATTTCTGTGTCTTTCAATCAATCAGCTTCTAGTTATTAAGATTGGGGCATAATACTGAATGAACTGCATCGAGGTGGGCGTGACAAAAGTGATGGAATTAGCCTAAATTATCTTGAATTGACTAACTCAACCTGCCAAGCTTCTACACATATTTGTATACAGATAAACTAATCTCCCAAAATAAAAAGAAGGGAAGACAAAAGGCTATTCAGCAAGATGCAAGAATACATTTTGGAAGATGCTTGTACATGTTGATCAAATGCTGACGCCCATGTAAACTCAAATGTTAATCAGAATTGTGTAAGGAGAGAGATTCTGAAAGTAATGTTGGGACTTGGGAGTACCTTAAGTGAGAGTTTCGCATTCCCTGTAACTCAGCATCATTTTTCACTGCCTTGGCCAAAGAGATAGGGGAAGCCCTATAAACTCCAGATGGCATGGCTGATCGACCATTGTAATCTTGAACCCTAGCCTTACTCTTTTTATTCAGATAGTTATCACAGGCAGACTTGTAGGTGTTGACAATGGCAGCGTTCATTGATGATGTGTCTAACCAAAGATTTCCCCCTTGTTTCACCAAACTGCATAGATAAAATTGCTGAATAAGGGCGCAGCAGACAAAAATATGCTGTCAATGATGCCAAAGTACAGTAAGAATAAAAAAGCACCGAGTAAAAGAGCATCCTAGTGAATGAGACCACTGTGTATGGCAAGGGTAAATTTATCCAGCCTCAGTTCGACAATTCAAACAAGCTGTTACATGACTTGAATACATGTACCATTCTTAACAATGAACCACGGCTAGCCGAGTGCCAATAGATGTGAAAGCACTCATCTGATGGCCAAATAATAAGCCAGCAAACCAAATATATTTTCTGTCTCACTCAAATCAGGTCAGCCATCTCCAGCAAACTCAAATGGAAAAGGCAAGCATCTTTCTCACACTAAAAAATGGCCACAAAAATAAAAAAAGAGGGAAAAAGAACCTCATCGACTCACTTTTCTATTTCAGACAGAATTTTATCATATGGTCTCAACTCAACGCCTGCATTTTTCAAATGATCCATCACTTCCGGTGTGATTTTGGAACTATCAACGAATAACTCAGCTGTATCAGTCTTCACAAGTAAATAGGCATACACGACTGGAGAATGTGGAACATCATTTCCTCTCTGCAATACGGAATCTCATATATCAGGGTACAGCAAATTATGCAGGCTTACAAGAAAAAAACAAGATGAAAATTGAATAAAAAAATTCCTACCAGACAAGAATAAGACTCCAAATATAGGCACAAGATGATAAAATTCAACTACTATGAGAAAAGCTCTTCAAGTATCAGATGGATATGACTGCTCAGTTGCAAATCATTACCAGGTTTAATAGCCACGCCACTTCATCAAGCATCGATATAATGATGGCAGATGCACCAGCATCAACAAATTCGGCCCTCAGGAAAGAGAGTTTTGATGCCACGTCTAAGCCAGCGAATTTTAGATCATGAATTCTAACTGGCTTAGTTGGAGATTTTGGCCTTTCTTTCCATACTTCATCCACCAAGTTTATATTGTACAGGAGAACCAGCTCATGATTTTTCTTAGCAATAGCCTCCTTTAATTCTTCCGCAGCATCAGAAGAGAAGAGAAACTGTTCACTTCACACCATGAAAGACAGGCGGCATCAGAGAGTGAGATTAAAAAGTCTAAAGCAAATGTGTCTTTGTTTGTGTATAAACCAGCAAATATAGGACAAAATATAGGGACTAAAAATGGTGAAAGATATGAAAAACAATCAAGAGTCTGAATAAGGTCAATATAAGATAAAACTTTCATGCCAAAGCACAATAGAATAACAGTGAATACAGAAAACTCAACATTGCTATTACAAGAATTACAAACCCTTATGGACACCCTAATATTCTTGCAGAATTTAGAGCCAATACTATGAATCATAGAACTATAATGAAATATACGATCAACTACCATTTATCAAATTAATAACTCTTTGCAAAAGAAGAGATGTCAAAAGGGGCTTTGTACATGATGTAACCCCTAAGCCACATAATGGCTGTAGACCTCCCAGTTAAAGGGAGGGACACATGAATTTGACAAATTTCCAGATCTATTTGAAGAAAAATGCATATGGACAAAATATGGTCCTTGAAACTATGAAAGCCATAAAAAGATTTACAGGATCAATGCCAATTCTGCATCCAGGAGCCAGAACGTCATTGAGCCATTCACTAGTTGTTGGAACTCCTAGATTACCAGCCCGCATGAGAATCCAACTGGAGTTTAGCTGATTCTCGGCCTACCAATAAGAACGATAGATGTGATCAGTACAACAACCAATGTAGATAGCCAAAGAGTTTCAGGCATAGGAAAGAGCAGAAGTACTTACAAACACTAAAGAGCTACTTGGTTAAGACCCTTAGCAAATTGAAATTGTAAGTTTTCGCTATCAGACCTGAAGAAAATAACGTCCATCTGTCCATAGAGCTGCTTTATCCTTTGTGACGACAGCAGTGCCAGCACTGCCTGTAAAACCTGATATATAGGCCCTCCTCGTATAACATTCTGCAATGAACTCACTCTGCAATCCAACATATATGAATAAAAAAAAAATTAACACCGGAGCAGTGACAAGAAATTAATACTGGACCAACAAGACAGAAGGCACTGGCAATTCCTTAGGCGAACTCCTTCGCTTTATAATAATAGAACCATCTCCAAGTCCTAAGAATTAGCGAAACTTGAAGGGGACATAATCTTATTCCTTCGAGTATGTTCCAGATGAACAGGAAAGAAGAAGCTCCTATATCAATTCTTCGATGGAACAATGCTAGATAGGAAAACCTTTTTTTCCGAACGGAAACAGTAGACTAACTCCTAAGCGAATCAAATCCTATGCTGACAGTGATCTTAAACCAGAAGCTCATTGTCTTTCACTCTTTCCGACGTCGAAAAAGCTTCCCATCCATTTCAAGCAATGTACAGTCCAAAGGTAGTCCGTACAAAACATCATAGTTAACCACAACATGGTATAACGTCGATGTCATTCACCTAACACAACAACTCAGCACTTCCAGAGCGGAACAACAGGATCGTGCGATTAACGAAGAAGTACCACTGCAGTTCCAGAATGGAAACAGCAGGTTTACGCGATCAAACCATCAGAACATCGACCGAAAAGAAAAGGAAGAAGCAGAGGACCGAACCTGGTGCGCGTCCTGAGAAGGAACGACGTACGCATCGATGCCGATCCCAGGCCTCGAGAAGAGCTCGCGGAGAGCCCGGAGCTTCTCGTCGGGCTCCGGCCCCCCGCCGCCGCCGCGGCCGCCGCCGCGCCGCTTCCTGACCTCCGACGACGGCCTCGCGGTCACGGAGCCGCAGCTCCGGACGCAGAGCCGAGGCGGCGGCGTACCACCGACGGCCGTCGATCTCGGGAGGCGTCCGGAGGGAGGGGACCGGGAGCTCGGGAAGAGAGGGAGGGAGAGGGCGAAGAGGCGGAAGCAGAGAGGGCGCGAGGGATTGGAGGTCCGCATGGCCGGTGATCGGAGGGAGTTCATGGCCGTTGGCTGAAGAGAGAGAATCGTTTCTCTCTCGCAACTCGGAGAGAGAGAGAGAGAGAGATGATAAGAGAGCGTTGGGAGCACGTGAGCAGTGTAGCAGAGGATTTTTCTAAGTTGTTTTTTTGGGGGGAAAATCCCATTTTGGTATCCCAAATGAAAGCGTTTTTTCAATTTGGTACTCAAAGTGGACACGGTGTCAAATAAGGGTCTGAAGTGCTTAATTAATTTTAAATAAGGATCCGAAGTGCCTAAAAAGTCTCAAATAAGGACCTGGGTCGCTGGGCGGCCAAAATTGCCTGCCGAGGGCGAGGGCGGCCCTTGTCCAGCCCAGGCGAGGGCGGCCCTTGCCCGACGCCGGCGGGGGCCGCCTCCGCCTGAGGCGGGCGACCTCCGCCGGCCTCGGCTATGGCCGGCGGAGGAAGAGAAGAAAAAAAAAAGAAAAGGAAAAGGAAAAAAAACAGAAAAGGAAAAAATAATTAAAAAGTACTGTGTTCCGGTGCCGGAACAGTATATTCTTGCCGGCAAGCAGGAAATTTTGGCCGCTCGGCGACCCAGGCTCTTATTTGAGACTTTTTGGGCACTTCGGGTCTTTATTTGAGACTAATTGGACACTTCATGTCCTTATTTGACACCGTGTCCACTTTGGGTACCAAATTGAGAAAACGCTTTCACTTTGGGTACCAAAATGGAATTTTCCCTTTTTTGGTAGAGCTCGCGAGGTTTTCTATACTCCGCGAAAAATTAATAATTTTAAAAAAATTACTAATTAATAAAAAAAATATTCACATTATCGATAACAATTCATACTTAAATATTTTCGTAAATGATGAAAAAAAGTTTTCGTTTATTCGTTTTTATAAGTGATGTAAGCGATTATTTTTTGGAAAGTGTTTTTCAAATCATTTATTTTCTTTCTCATGTATAATGTTTTTTACATTTTTTTCGATTAACTTTATGACTTTAAATCACTATACTTAGATTTTTTGGAGTAAATTTTAAGGAGTATGAGTTCGTGAGCTCCGAATAATTATCCATATGATAAACGAGTACCGATTTATCATCTTAGATAAGAGATGAACTTTTCAATTTATTTGTCAAAAAAAAATCGCATAGGAAACATGTATAGACAAACCTCTACGATATGTTTTTAGTTAATACAAATCTTGCGGCACATGCATTTTGCCTTTTTTTTAATCCAAAACACTCGGAATTTCACAATACATTAATAAATTTGATGTTAACTCGTGAGTTCACATATCTAATAAATTCAAAATACTTTCGACGGGAAAAAGTAAAATTGAAACGGGCCCCAGTTTTCTTCTCCCCGCTAGAGATAAGAATTTGGGCCATTCTATTCAAGCTGAGCCCAAAAGCTTTCTTCTTGGGCCTGTAAGGCCTACGGGCTTTAGAGCAACTTTCCAGGCTTTTTTCCCCCACTTGATTTATAGCAGCGAGGTTATCATCGAACCCTTTCTTCCATCATCCTGAAAGGACTCCACATTTCCAAATCCCCGATCGAAAGGGACTCCATCCAACCACGCCTCTGATAGGTGAATTTCCATAACTCGTAACCGACCATTCTCCGACTAAGCTTGGATGAAGGCTCGACCTTTACAAATCGAGAAAAATGCTTGTTTTTAAGGAAAACGATAGGCTCTATCATCAGGTCTACTTATACATATATACAATTTCTAGCACATGTAGAGCCAATCTCATGTACACATTGGATCCAGTATGATTCTTCTTTTTTTGTTTGTTTTTGTAGCATTTAGATATTACATGACGCCTTCATCTAACGGTTAGATCGGGATTTGACCCCGGATTGAAGGGCGAGAAAATATAATTGTAAGGTAAAGAATGATCTCTTGCTCTACCATCATAATAGACTGTGCAACAAGTCAAAGTTTCAATGGCAGAGTTATATCCTTGGTCTTGTCTTTCTTATCCACAAACACAAGCAATCAAAGCTATAAAGAAAAATAAACCATCCCAATTTCCAGCTCAATCCATTATAAGATTCAGAGGGTAGGTAATCTTTTTCCTTAGGTCACAATGAAAAAACATGATGAGTTCTGTTTAGTTTATGATCAAACGTACGTAAGTTGACAAGTCATGTTGAATTCCTCCACGAATCGATCTTATCACATGTGCATATGCGTGGTGGTTTTGGACCATGTGACTTTCTACCCATCTAATAATTTAATTTGCATACCCATCAAATCGATTAACTCACACTACAAAAAAACACCGGATTAGCGACGAAATTTGCGACGGAAAATTTGGAAAAATCCGTCGCAAATCGAATTTGCGACGAATTTTGCGACGGAAAAAATTTCGTCGCTACTAGGTCGTCGCAAAATTTTGCGACGGAAAATTTAAAAGTTCGTCGCAAAATTGCGACGAAAATAAATTCGTCGGAAAATTCGTCGCAAAATTAGTCGCAAATTAGCCACGAATACAATCCGTCGCAAAATTCGTCGCAAATATTTCGTCGCAAATTTGCGACGAACTCTATCCGTCGCAAATTTGCGACGAACTCTATCCGTCGCAAAATTCGTCGGAAAATTCGTCGCATTTTCGTCGGAAATTTCGTCGCAAATTCGTCGCAAAATTTCGTCGCAAATTTCGTCGCAAAATTGTTGCAAAATTCGTCGCAAATTTCGTCGCAAAATTCGTCACAAAATTAGTCGCAAAATTAGCGACGAATACAATCCGTCGCAAAATTCGTCGCAAATATTTCGTCGCAAATTTGCGACGAACTGTCGCAAAATTCGTCGCAAATTTCATCGCAAATTTCGTCGCAATTTCGTCGCAAATTTCGTTGCAAAATTCGTCGCAAATTTCGTTGCAAAATTCGTTGCAAAATGTATTCGTCGCAAATTAGCGACGAACTGTAATGATCGCAAAATTCGGCTTAAAATATTCGTCGCTATTTTTACATCATTTCGGCCATAAATTCTTGTCCATATCAAACAAAGGAGACAATGACATATAATTGAAACAGAAAAACGAACAAACCATAAATTGTGACAAACCAGCCACAATGACATATAATTGAAACAAATAACTGAATGAAAGTTGCAGAGTCTGACATGATGCTATTTGATATCCAATCTTACAATACATTCAAAACATGAACTAAGAGACGGGATAACCATAGAAGACGCAGAAAAACCATACACAAGAAGACGCAGCTTTGGTACGATGGCAACACACCAAAAGTAGTCACTTTTGTCGAGACCTGAGGAAATGTCGATACATAAATCAGTCCAGAATATAAAAGAAGCGTTTATACATGGATGTAGAACTAGGTGTAAAATAACAAGAGGGTTAACAAAAATACGTTTCAGGACGAACATAAATGTTGTTACATATGAATATGAGTGAAATTATGAAAAACCAAGATTATGAAGCAAGCTTACCCCCGATTTTGAGAATTTTAACTAGAAAGACTGGAGAAAATCATCATCATCATCATCATCATCATCAGCATTCTCGGCATCAATGTGTTGGTCATCATTGTGCCCATCACCTATTGGATTGGCTGGAGGTACAGGAGGATCGTCATAGCGATTGAGGTTAAGGTGTCGCATAACGAGTCTCATTTGTTGTTTCAAGTTATTTATTTGTTCGTCCTTCTGAACAAGCAAATTATTCAGACGATGCACTTCTTGGGTCAATTGCTTGTCTTGTCATGGCCTCCTTCGACCAGTCGCAGTGGATGATGAACTTCCAGGATTATTCGGCATGTACATCCTTGACAACGATCCCATCTCAAATATTTTCCCTTTTTTCACCCCACCCGTTACCTCCATCCATAATGCCATATTATCAACTGATGGCCCGGACTCAGGAAAATCATCACTACCACTAGCACTGCTCATTAAAAGTTCATCATATTTTTCCTACATTAACAATGTAGATGAAAATAAAATCACTATATATATCTACCTTAAATATTGAAAGCATTCACGGTTTTCATTATAGTTTACATATAAGCCAAAGTATAACCTTACATACCTTAACAGCTTTTGCTCGATCGCCAGTCCATGTCTTATCTTTCTTTTGAAATGTGCGTTCAAATGTAGCTACAAATGTCGGTTCCGTCCCCAATTCTTGTGCCTACAAAATGTAAACATGAGTAATTGAATTAAATTAACTTATAACTCATTTAACAGACTTACCAGTCGTTTGCGATGCTCCGCAATGTTGATAGAGCCCCTAGCATATGTGGCTGACCCATCACTAGAACTAGAAGATCGATTCTTCTTATTCTGCTCACAGAGTTGCCGACTCTGTTCAGATGCTCAAAATCTGTTAATTGCCGCCCAATTGTCAGCTGTAAAGAAAGACAGCTTCACTTGCTTGATCTTTGCTCTATTCATGACATTTCGCATAAAATCACCGTTTTTCTTATCGAAAATTCTTCTCACTTCATGGTGTTCCGCTTCCTCCCACTTGAACTTCCGCTGCAATGAATAAAAACACAAATTGAAAGTTATTATGATGATCACATATCCATAACCATGCACCAGACAAATATAGATAGATTTTGTGAAGTTCATGTCGGGGAAAATATCTGGTCCTTTAGGTATCGAAAACTATAGAGTTGTTCTGGTCCCTTTACATCATTCTTGACCATCAATATACTACACCAAACTTAATTGGTGAGAAAATAAAATATGTAAAACTTACCTTGAACTCATTCCACCATATTTCTTTCACTTCTTGTGGAACACTTCTGTAAGTAATATACTCTCCCATCCAAAAGTTTCTTACTATTTTGTTCAATTCCCTCACAACAGACGAAGCATCCGTGAATCTGCAATCATACGGATATTGTGCAACATCGACAATTCAGTTGACATCAATATCTAAAGCCCTAAATATTACATATACTAAAATAAAAATGAAGTACTTACGAATCTCCAAATGGGCATATGAAGAATCGGTTATCTTCTTGACCTGTGTTTCCGTCAATATTCGATTGTTCCGCCGAATAATGGGGTGGAACGGAAGGAGAGGGAGCTAAAGGAGATTGAACTGGAGGAGATTCAGTTCGCATGTGGCCAAGTCCCGTAACATGTTGTTGAGTGTTGGAG